CTGTATCTTCGACGGGATTAATTAGTGGGACCGAAAAAGTTCGTCCTGGAGAACACTGTGTGTGGTTCGATCGATATCGCACTTCTGCCGTTCGTCGTGCGTTAATTAGTGGAGCGGAAGTATTGAATGACTGGAAAATGTATTTCAGGGCACGGAGGAGAGGAACCACGACCTGGTTCAGGTGTACAAAAACTACTTCGAGCGTCACGTGAATCCAACGAACTTGGCGCTGTTCATCGACAGCTACATACGCCGCACGGATCTGAATATCACGAGGGAATTAGACCCGATACGCAAAAAGGAAGGTCTCACGCTCGGCGTGCCTGTCATGAACATCACCGGAGCTCTGAGCCCGCACGTCGACGACACCGTCACGTTAAACGGCCGATTGGACCCGACGAACAGTTCTTGGATGAAGGTACGACGCAACCGCCGGTGTTATAACTCTTACGTCCGTCACCGGGTTATCTGCCTCCACGGTATTCGTTCTCTACAAGCGTGCTTTGTCGGCCCCTGTGTAATCACATCTTTATCCCCTCCGTGTTGTGGGACCAGCTGATAGTAGCTGGCGTTGTTTCAGTTTTGACGGTGCAAGAGGATGGAGATTAACCCCTTCTCCTATAATATCAAGTCAAACTCGCGATGGAAATTTTCAAGCGAATTTCAGAAATGTAACAGTTATTTGTTCATTTTTCTGATGAATGAAATGTTATTTGTCTATTATCAATCTTTAGATCAAGTGTATTATTAATTTTTAGAATAAACGTAGACATAGGATCTGCGTAAGATTATTTTTCTTTTCTACTAAATTATTGAAGATGAAGTAGTTCTATTTTCACTGTTCTCAAAGAAACCATAGGACAAGGGATTGAAATATATTAGAAAGAGAAGTTTCAATATACAGAAATAACGAGTATTTTATTTTGATTCGGATGAATTTTCCAATTTTCGAATAAAGCAGTATTTTAGTTGTAACTAGTTGAAGAATGTTTTCTTCAAATTTAAAAAGATTTTAAACGAAAAGTTTCGATCTCGGAAAGATATTGGCCGGTTTTTAAAGCTTGGAGTATTGAACGTCTTGTGTTCTTGAAACAATAGAACCGACTCCGACGCGTCGAGTGAACTTGAATTAAATACGACCTCCCATTATCAAATCACGTGTAATGCGTAGACTGCAGATTCTATGCATTCGTGGCGCATGCAAGTTTGCAAAATCCAGCTGAATGAAATCTTTAGTCGGTAGTTTTCGTTTTATTTTTAGTTTTACGATACTCCTTCCGGTCACGCAATACAATATCTGTTTCTAATTCCTGTGAAATAATAATATTGAGTATTTTCTTTCGAGAGTAGTGAATAGTTTCCCAATGGTCTTGAATTATAAATAAATATCGAACAGTATCAGCAACCACTATAATGAATAAATTAAACGAGATGATTTCCTACATCGTAAATTAAAAAAAATTCTGACTTTAAGCACGAATAGATTTAAATTACCGGGTCTATAACCATTAAAATAACGATTCGATTGCTTCGATTCGCAGATCTCCGATTGCGGAATGGTGCTGGAGGAGCAACCGGGCAAAGTAAGCGAGGCTTTCCGACTATTTCTGCAGGGCGAAGGATATGGTAAGTGAGCGCCCCGTCGAACCACACTTTAGCCATTACTTATCGGATTATCAAATGATTATTCCCATCGACCGTCACCGGTACAAAATAACTGCGCCATATTGCCCCGTAGAAGAGCACGCGATCATCTCGTATCGAGGCGAAAACGAAAATTCCAACACCCCGAAACAATGAAAAATTCATCTATCAATTCCTCCGCGATTTCTCTTCAATCACCATTCGTTGAAAACGTTCAAAGCGATGCAGATACCTCCAAAAACACGGCCGGCTTATCTTCAATGCCGAGAAATAACCTCCACGAGCAACGAACGCTCGAACGGACGTTCGCGTTTGCTCTCCTACAAACCAATAACAAGAAAACGAAAAAGAAACCAGTGAAAAACCAAATCAGCAAGTGTCGTAGATCTCGCGGACACCCGGTGGGCTTGAGTATCGTTCCACCGATTGCTGCGTTGTCACGGGTATCCGTAAAAAAATTTGGCCTACACGACCCGGCACACGCGCCGAGAAACCGGCGAGTCGTGTTCAAAGGTCACAGTCCGGGTCGCACCGAATTTTCTTCGCCGGGACGTTGCCCGCGTCGCAAACTTACAGTGATCACTGTCGGAGCGTGCGAGATACCGGAAAAACGAAGTGACGCTTTGTAAATTGAATCGCGTCGACTGTTTTCTCGCCCTCGGATCCCGCTAGTCGTCGGCTTGGTCTCGTAAGCTTCGAAGCTCGGTTTCAAGCTGCATAACTTAGCTTTAGCTAGACGCGTTGTCTCGCCAGATCTCTTAATCGCGGAACACGAGTGAACTTGGTGTCAGCTCTCGTTGATTTTCTCGCCTTTTTCGTCGAACTGATTCGTAGTCCGTCTGTCTTTGCCACCGGTCCGGTTATATTATTTATTCGTTGCACGCTGAACGTTCCTCCCGGCCGCTTTAGGCGGCCGGCGAGCTTACAGACGAGCGAGCAACGACCAACCGGTTGATTGTTCTCGAACGCCAACGTTTTCGAACACTGGAACGCCGTACGGCTGATTGGAAGTTTATTATTGTTTTTTGGCTTCTTGGTCACAGAAACACGATTAGCACTTATCACAACGACACTACGCTTTACCTCCACCATCCAGCCCAGTTAAGAACGTAGGAAACGGTGTTAACCGCGTGCATATTATCCCGTCGTACGCAACGCTTGTTTGCGCCCTTTACCCCTCGCTCTGCCAGATTACAGTATTATATTATTGTTGATCTCGATTACTGTTCTATCTGTCTTTTCTCTGTCTCTATCTTGCTCTCTATCTATCTCTGTCTATTGACACGCAGTACGACAATGAAACTGTTATTTACTTTGTTATGTGGGTAGGTATCCTCTGCGCGTGTATTAGCCGAGTACGCCCGTGTTGTTCCATTTAACTTTAAACTGTTCTCGCGGATACTGTCGTTGAACTTAATTGTTGTTACGATCGTGTCGCTTTGTTGTTTACGAAACAGAGTTTTCATGTTGTACGAAACGGCGCGACGCCGGGACGCTGTTGATCCTCGACCCGCGGCGGGTTTCTCGCGCGTGACTTGTTTGCTTTGGCGTTGAATATATTTGGAAATGTTTGAAAATGTTTAAAAATGTTTGAAAATATTTGAAAATGTTTGATAATGTTTGAAAATACTTTCCCGTTTCTCTATCGGACTGCTCGATTCAGTTTCGCGCGGATCCTCCGACTCATCGAGACTCAACAACGTTATCGATCATGTATTTTCCTTCACCTGAAAGCCACCGGCTCGACTTGATAAATAAAAAAAGGTTTGAAAAAAGGAGTTTTACACGTTGAATTCATCACTTTAGTCGTATCACCACCACCGCCATTTACTCGAGAGCATTTTTCTTTTCTTTTATTCTTTCCTCCTATCTTTCTTTTTTTTTCTCTGTCCCCGTTGTTTTATCGATAACGATCATCTAAAGGCAAAATAGGAATTATTACGAAAAAATACATGTTCACCGACTTGCGCCTTTATTTCCCACGCGTCTCGGATCGATCGAGTGGTACGTATACACATTACTAATTCAGCCTGTTAGAAGTGGAGTTAGTAGTGAATTGTTTCGGCTTCTTAGCTATTTTGTTTGCTTCCTAGTTAAAACCAAACACCGTGAATGATGCTGTGTAGTTACAAATAGTACAAGCAACTGTTCCGAACCTGTCGTAGTGTTAGAAGCTCCTTTGCCGATGTTAGTGGACTTCGTATAGAAGATAAATACAATCGATGTACGTAAAACAAAGCGATTTGCAAACGGCAGCTGAAACGTCAACGAATCTCGTCCATTTCATTGAAGTCGTTTAAAATCGTTCATTTGAGTAAGAGACATTTTTTGTGGTGGATGTTTAATACGCATGGACGAGGATCGTTGCTTTCCTTTTTTCATTTTAAATGTACACGACAATTGGCCTGACGATGCATCGCACCAGAATGATTTCCGATGACATTTCCGTTCCATGAAAAAAACAAAGTACGTCCGCCACGATCACCCTCGATTCTTGTGCTTTGGAGTCTCTAAAAGAGAATTTGTTTTTTTATGCGTTTTAGTGGTGAAATCCTCGCGGAAGCCCGTGACGCCGACAACACCCGAAGGTAATTGTAATTAGGAATTGAAGGCCGCAAGGAGTCAAGCGCGCAGTTGGTCGGTTAGGCCACGTCTATGTGTTAAGTAAGTCGGAATTCAAACTCTTATCGGGAGAACTACTAACCGACGACGATCTCTCTATCACGACTAACATGCCTTGGACAACCCCGGGTACAGTCCCTCAAGGATTTAACTGAAAGGCAACTAACTGCTGCTCCTTTTCACCATACTAACAAGACACATTCGTAACCCGTTCATTTCTGGGTCCAACGCCTCGGGCTCGCCGAACTTGTGCTTTATGAACCTTCCACGCGCATTCTCTTAGAATCAACATCCCTCTATCATTGTTGCTTAATCTTGAGAACGAGTGAATCATTTGTAACAACCGAAAATTATGATAATATTCGAATTGTCTCTTGATAATAAAATATTAAATAAAACAGATTTTTAAGTAAATACTCGAAGGTGGATACCGAATTAAGAGAATTTGTCAATTTTATAGTTTTTGTTGAGAAAAATTTATCCTCATCACTCGTCTTCATTTATTAATCATTTTTTCACGATAAACCTTTACCGATTGAGGCTTCACATGTTCCGCTCTTATCATTAGTTGGTACAAAGAATGTTTGCCGATTGACGATAAGTCAGAGACCTTTCTGGAAAACATATCATGTTCCGACTCATCCTCTTCAGCACAGTCTCTTCGAGTGAAGAATAAAACAGCTACATTTCTATTTTGGCAGCAAGATTTGCTAACGATATCGCCAGACAATACGATCTAAAAAGTAGCAGCAATTCTAAGGATTGCTCGCACCTACTGGGCAGTAGAATAGCAAAGAACAGAACCGCGCTGTTTACTCACACGCCTCCGCACATGAAACAACTCCACCGACACACAGAACTCAACCTGTTTTTACTTTGCATGCGCGCCTTTCTTTGTATTCGCCGTTCTTCTTCAGTTTTGTGTACTCTCTTCCTCGCGTTGCGACGATCGAGCCGATCGATCCCGTGCGCCCGATGTCTCTGTTATCTGTATCTCTGTGTTGAAACGCGCTCCACGATTTACCGAATTTTTACCGCTAACGTTCGCGACCACGGAACGGGCACCGTAGAGCCGTGTGGTCGAATGAAAACTCGACTACCGATCCCCACGATCGCTCTGACCTGGTATTTTCTTTTATCTTTCTTTACAGTGGCACCGCTCTCACCGCTGAAAATGGCCGACTACAGACTGGCTTCCCTCGAGGAACTGAACCACGTGTGCATTAAGAAAATCGACCG